AGAGAGAGAGAGAGAGAGACAGACAGACAGACAGACAGACAGACAGACAGACAGACACTGACAGATACAGACACAGACACAGACACAGAGAGACAGAGACAGAGATAGAGATAGAGACAGAGAGAGAGAATAAAAGTACTCTTTCCAGCTTTCCTCTCCAAGCACCAAACTTATGAGTAAAATGTTCATGGATCCTCCAAACTGGACCAGTTGAAAAATACACAGCAAACCCAGCTGATACAATAGCAGAAGAATCACCCTGCCAAGCCCTGTCCAAATTCATAGCCCACAGATCAGGCCCACATAAATGTTTTGTTTTATAAACCTAATAGAATATCTGTTATAGGGAGGTACATAACCAAAAAAGGTAAATACTATTTCAAGTATTTAAAATGGGAATTCTACATTCAACAATAGTGCAATCTATATATCCTGAAAACCCTGACGTTACAAACACTTTAAAACTCTAGGTAAATATTTCTCAAATTATTTTAAATGCAAAGCTAAGCTCACAGGAGGCTATGAGGTGATTTAAAAGGGAAGGATCCCAGAATGACTGTAGACTAGTAAGCAGGCACTGAAGCTGGCGGCTGCCCCAAGGGCATTGGCTGACCTCCAAGAAGAAAGAGGTTTCAGCCTTTAATTGCTGAGAAAAATTCCTAAGCCTTTCACAGAATTGAGAATTGAAATGAAGATGCTGAATAAAGCCAAAAGCCTAAAGGATTGTACCCTTTAAGAGATCTGGATAGAAAAATACTATCCTAGAGAAAGAACGGAACTATGAAACTATTTTTGACCTTGAGTAAAGGAAAAAAAACAAAAAGAACATCTCGCCTGAGAATCGGTAGCAGAAGCCTCCCTTCCACAATGTCTGCATATATCAAAATATCATATCACACCCCATAGGTACACACATTTATTACCTGTCAATTTTTTAAATAAAAGTACAACAACAAGAAGGAGCAATCCTCAAATGGGTTGAGTTTCCAATTCAAAACTATCTGCATGCTCCAAAAACTCTAAGAAATTAATGCAAATTGGCCTGACCTTGGGAACAGTTCCAGGTACCCAGCAAAAACAAAGGCAAATCCTTTGTAAAGAAGGGGCTCTCAGTCCCAGTCTAATAGGAATTTCACACATAAAGGCAGTAGTGGGCTGGAACTGGCTTTTGCAGACTAGTAGGACAGAGGTCATTCCCCGTACCACTTCCTAACTTCACAGTTATGTCAAAGTTTGAAATTGGCTACTCTAGGAACAATCTCACCAAAGAAATTGGCAAACACCACAAAATGGGCCTTTTAAAATAAAAGCTAATTAAGAGCCAGTCTCATATACACAGATTCACCATTAAAAACACCACAGACAGGTCAGCAGAAATAAAAACAGCCAGATTAAATTTATAAAGGCTTCAAAAAAATCAAATTACAACGTAAAGAACAAAAAGTGAGAATCCTTTATGTACTGACAAAAAATAAAAAACATCATAGTCATGGGCAAACAATGAAACTTTTTGAACGAATAAATAGACATCTAGGGGCTGGAGAGATAGCTGAGCGGTCTACACGCCTGCCTGGCAATTGCGAAGACCAGGGTTCTATCCCCCGTACCTCATGCTACCCCAGCAGGCCAGCCACCAAAACCAGGAGTGGTGGTATAGGCCTGTAATCCCAATGCTGGGGAGGCTGAGCCAGGAGGATCACTATGAGTCTGAGCTCTATAGCGAGACCCTGCACTAAATAAATACATACACACATACAAGAGTTTTAAACAATAGATATCTAAAAAATTTAAGACAGAGAAAACAGTAATATAAAAGGAATTGAGAATTTTTATTCAGTAATGTATGTACTCTCAATAAATTTACAAAGGGAAAATTTAACCTTGCACAACTTCTGCTGGTTGCAACAACTTTGCCTTTACCCTGCTCAGAATTAGGCTGCTGGGGCCCTATTTTTTAATTCACTGTTCAAGTGGAACAATGTAATATACATTGTGAGTTAAAATGTTCTACTGCAGTTTGGCAGCATTTTCTTTTGCTTTTGGTTTTATATTTTTTTATTTTATTATGAAATATATTATCCTTACAAAACTTACAGGTGTTAATATAGGGAACACCCAAGTGAGATATGGTGGTAGACTGACGAATACATATTCTAGGTCCTCACCCTTGGTTTCCAATGAGAAGTTCTACATCCCTGGTGCACCTTTTGAGTGATAGGAATGTCTTCTGCTCTAATGACTTACAAATCACTTCAGGTCAGTATCCACAAAGAACAAATTTTGATGGGACACCTAGAAATTTCAAGGAAAAGAGGAGGGCTGGAGATTGAGTCAATAATCAGCCATGGTCCTGTGACTAAACCTCCATATAAAGCCCTAAAGGTCAAGGATGGGGGAACTTCTAGAACATTCACTTCCCTTGAAGGTAGCAAACCCCAAATACACAAAATTAGAAGCCCCTGAATGTTGGGGCCTTTTTAGAACATGTTCCATAGGCAGCTTCACGCCACTGTTTGTTGGCGTCTTTAGAGTGAACCAGCAATAGGTGAGCAAACACATTTTCCTGAGGTCAAACCCAAAGGAAGGTAATAGGAATCTTCACCTTCTAGCTCTGGAGTGAGGAACAGGAATATCTGTGACACGTGTTGACGTCTGAAGTATGCATCTGCAGGACAAAACACTTACAATGAAAGCTCTGGGTTAACTTCACCCAACTGGGGTCAGAATTAGACTAAATTTCAGGAGTGTCCAGTGGGATCCAGAGAATTGTAGAATTGAATAATGTGGGGGGAAGTGCTGTGGATAAGAAAGTCCCACAGTTGGTATTTTCTATGCAGATTTTTTCATGAACTATATTAATCTCACAAAAGTTGTGAGCAGGAGAATAATGAGCATTCAGGTATTTCTATGTACACCCTCCTGCTTTATTCCATCCCTGTACATATTTAACCAAACCTCAAACCTGTATTTTAATCATTTCTATAAGTGACTGGTCATTATTACATATTCTGTATGTGCTGCAAATGGGCAGGGAGTGCACACCTTTAACCCCAGCTACTTGGAAAGCTGAGGCAAACAAGTTGCAAGTTTGAAGCCAGCCTGAGAAACAAGAAAGCTTATCTCAAAAATTAATAAATAAATAGCCCTGGGGATATA